AATAAATTAAGATGTACACTCTAAACCCACGTAGAAAAACTTACCTTTCCACTATAAGGTTTACTGGAAGAGAAATCTTATCAAATTAAGGTCATCTTTATGCATATTTAACATTAGTTTCATGAAAATTTTGTTATATATTAGAACAGACTCATTAGTGGGTGCCTCGATGAATCTTCTATTAAAGTATGAGATGGCAAGATAAATAAACATAAACAGCATAAAAGCATAAACAGTTAAATATTTTGTTTTTTATATTATAAGAGTAAAAGTTTGTGGTGTTGATATTGGAATGAGATATTTAATGAAGTGTGCTTGTTACCATTTTGCATCAACATTAATGACCAAATCTCATTCTGAATTAAGATATTTATATCTTCACATATCTTATAGCATGTCCTAAGCATTAGTAAACTACATGGTTTTATATTTATTCCAGAAAATACATATTTTGCCAGTGTAATAAGCATGTGCATAAGTATATCACATAAATTATTAAATGCAGCTGGGGTGGTAACTAAGATAACATTATACAAAAGTGCATGCAATCAAAAACGTTACATGAATAGGTACAAAGACATTAAACTTGATTTATACCTATAAATCTTTATATATAAACAGGTAACTGACATGATTTCTGTTCGAGCCAATGTAAGGTAAACAGTATTATTTTTTTTTTTGAAACCAGGAATCTTTCCAATCCCCCAATAGTATGATAATGATGATACAATGAAGTATCTATGAATACCTAATCATACTAATTTATTAATTGCATTTTGAACTTTACAACATTCTCCATTTTGTTTGCTCCATTAAACTTATGAGCTAATTAGATATAATTCACTTACCCAATCCTCACTTATTTTACCTTTCAGTTCATTTAATGTATAAAACACATGGGCTAACTTATCCCACTTCTGAATTTTTAAAGAAATAATAGGTTTAGACTGTTTAAATCTTTTAATCTGTTATTAATTTTTACACACAGCGAATTTCAATCTCACCAAACAACAAAGTTGCCAGTTATATATAAAAAAGACTCCCAAGGAGGCTATTAATACCATAGTGATTTATATAAATTTTCCCAAGTAATTTAAATAACAATATTTAAACAATAAAAAGGACAGAATTAAAACCTTAAATTAATATTTTTAACAGTACTCACCATTCGAAACACAGCAGCATTAAGCTACCATTTTATGCCAGTTTTCTGTGAGAGTGTGGTGTTGCTCCGGCCGACCCATTCATGCTACAACCACAATATAGCTGCAGCGTGGCTCAACCACGTATAACGTAGATAGGTTGTAACTGAAATTTTGAACTGTATCAAACTGGCAACAATCTGTCTCTTCCTGCTTATAAAACGTAAAAGTCAGTGTCGATATCAATTAAAAAGTCAATTTTCAATAATAAATCGTTTTATTATGCCCCAATAATATTAGTGTTCCCCTAAAATATTAAGTTTCTTACCAGAGAATCACTACTGCTTTATAAAACTATGTAAAACAGCTACATATCACTGTACTGTTATCTTTTGCTTGGAAAGTGACAAATTTTTAGGGTAAAGACGGACGCACTCCAATATCCTGTACGTAATAACATTTTTGAAATTTTGTCGGCAAAATATTTTATTTTCTCGGGCATAGGTTTGCTAATGTGGTTTTTCTATATCGCCGAGTGCGTGAAAAATTTACACTTAAAACAATTAACAATTAAACCGATAATGGCGAGATATGAACCTTGCTCGCTTACAGTTTAAGGCAAGCGCACAGCCGTTGCGCTACCTGGCTCTTGTAGCGTGCATGTTGTATCCTTAATAAATTTAATATATATTTTTATGGTCTTATATTATGAAAAATATTTTTTTATTATAAGAAAATGGTTATTGTTTAAAGATAAAATAAATAACAAAAACCAGATATTGTATTTGTTATCTCACAGCTTTGTTGTCTAGATTCACAATGACCGAGTCAAAGCTGTACAAGGAGAAGATCTTGTTAGGCTTCTTAACTTTGGTTGTCAAGCAGTCTCATTATTCCCACGTTATTTTTATTAATCTTAAATAAAATAGCTTAAATAAGTGGACGTATTTTATTATTAAAACTTAAGATAATATTTAAAGGTCAATGTTGAATATTATTCTTGACAAACACATTACTTAAATTTTTTGCTGTAAAATGAGAAATATTATGCCAATTTCTCCCCAAATACTAAGCTCGCCTGCATGTTATAATTATATCATGGTGATGGATTTTGTATGCAGTAAGGCATTTTATTAATTCGTTTATAGCCTTTATAGCCTTTAATACTGCACATCTCCCTTTCCTTATATTTGCGAGTAAAGCCCCAGACAAAGACTAGTTAAGTAAAATTCGTTGGTTTAATGTTTAAACGGTTAATGGAAACTGCCAACTTGTTTTATTAAAAGTTGGAGGCAGGTATGAAGTATTATATATAACTACAGACTTAATTCTTACAATAGTAATGCCCTTTAACAGTGATGTTCTCAATTATTACAATAGTTCATGATTTAGCTTAGATTTTCAAAAAAATGTTTGGGCTAATAGCATTGAGGGTCGTTGAAGTTTCTGGTAGACCCAGAGGCAATTGTCTCCTTTACCTAAATTTACATAGCACATATGAATAAATATTTTAGTCTATTCTTTAATTGTATTACGTCAATGCCAAAATTAGGTTAAGGTAATGTGTTTTCTAAAATAGTCGGCTGTGGCAGAATACGGTGACCTGAAATTTGGCATATATGCTCCCTTCTCAGCGTAGAAACTCTCAAGTGGAAAATTTAAACCTTGATGGGGTGAAATAGAGTATTATAGCTTCTATTTTATAAAACATTTGTTTATACATTGATATTATTGATTTCTTGCTTTCTAATGGATAACTTTTAAACAGAGATTGTCTTATTTATATTTTGATCCTATTTACAGATATCCCACCTAACTCTTTTAAGATAACACTATGTTCCCGTTTGTCACCATTGTTCTTTAAAAAATTTCAGGTACGTAAATTTAATGTTATAGAAAGAAGTTCAAAAAATATACGTTTATAAAACATATATACATATGTTTTATAAATTACTGTCTACAGGTGGTGTTAGAATATTTACTACGCCATCTATACCATATCGACCCGTGGGTGTCGGGAAGGGCGACAGAGGGAAACTGGAGCAGAAGATGAGTAGCTACATCTTCCTGATAACAACTCAAAATAGAACTGCGCTAGCAACACGCCTGCGAAGGCGAGGCTTATGTTGAGAAGTGAATTTTTATAGTCTAAAAAACCTAAACCTACGTGGCCTGTTTAAATGAGCTGTTTAGGAAGATATGCAGATAATTTAGTCTAACATGAAAAATCGAAAAAAAAACTGTTAGTTTTGCTTGGAATTCCGTTAAGTTTTGAATTATTTACATTATAAGCGACGATGATATTTTACGATGCATTATATTGCTGTGTGTATTACATACATTATTTTAAGGAATGCTCAGCGACGTAAACTTTTGTAGGTAATCTACACAGCACTTTAGGTTGGTATCACCACATAAAAGTGGTATTAACCCAATGAATGCATATAAAACAATACAAAAAGAAACATACTAGCGATAATTTGAAGGCTTGACTGAGAAAAGTTTAGTTCCATTGTATCTAAAGAAACATCTGGGGGCACGGTAGTGCCCCCGCCAATTCGAGCAAAAAAGCGTCACGGCCGTACCATACTTTACTCGAAGCAATTCAGGCCATTTTCGATCCCCTATAACTTCGTAAAGAATAAAACTAGAAGCCTGAATTTTCAGTGACCGAGTAGAAATTGTATAAACATGGTATATTTCAAATTTCATTCAATTTGAATAAGTAGTTTAAGAAGTATAACTAGTCAAAGTTTCTTAATTTTGTCACTCACTGACTGAACGATCATCAAAACTCTAAAGCACTTCTAGCAGACATAGAAGCTTCAAATTTAGAATACAATTAGTTTTTAGTGTACAAATCAAGAAAAAACTAAAATATTTTTTAATTTCAGTCCAGTTTTCTAGTATTAGTTGCGAGACTTGGTTTTTTTACAAGTTATGTTTTTGATGGCATTATTATTTTCAATGTGAACATACATAGTCTACGCCCTATGCTTATCATTACTCAACGTTTCATTGTTATTTATTTGAATTACTGCTAATTATGTAGGTTAATTTTAAGAGAACTTTCTAAAAACGTGCGGCCAGTTGAGAGTCCAGCGTAGTGAGATTTACGTTTAGCAAATCCTTGAAAATATTGTATTTACGCTATTTTTTCACTTTGAATGCATCAACTTGTGCAAATTAGGAAAGTTTTCAGTAAAAACGGAATTTTTGTGGCATACAACAACTTACGCAGGAGGTATCGATATTTTAATCAGATCTCTAGCAATTCGTTGCAAATACAGCTTGTTACGCATATGGACCGACAGGTCATACGCTACATTTCTCGGGTAGACTCATGTCGTAAGTGTTACGGTAGCTGAGATATGGTCGTTATAAGTTTTTTTTTTAAAATCACCCAAAATATTGCCTGTAAATCATTATAACTTTTTATGTTTGATTGTAATACTACGAAATAACTTGTGCTGTGTTGTGAAATGTAGATTAATCTAAATAAATCATTACGTGATACAATTTACGTCAAAAAATAGTTCTGAGCTTTCAAAGTCTTAGGTCTGTGTAGATGTTAGGGAAAGTGACAGATTCTAAATTCATTAAAAAAACTATATGTACCTATAATATCTATGTTTTAACCGATCATTATTAAAATCTACAAGTATCTAATACACGCAATCTATACGTATAATAAATATGTGGAAAAGTTGTGTCTGTAGTTCTCATATCTTAAAGAACAAGTCCAGGGGCTAAGCAAAGGTATTGAAGCAAAATAAGTCATATTTTTTAATTTTTGTCAGCCTGTCTGTCTATCTGTCTGAATACACAGACAGATAGACAGACGGAAACCTTACGTACTTACCTTACGTGTAATTGTTCTAGACAGCTATTTAAACGTCGAATTAGTTCTGGAGCTATAAGGTTTTTTACGCATAATATGGACTTAATATTGACGGTATCAATGCTGGAGCTAGTATTTGGATCTAAGTTGTTTATTATTTTAATTAACTCGATAACAGAAGCCAGTGCCATTGCCGTTAGTGTTATATCGTTGTTGTTAACGTTTACATTTGTAAAGATTCTGTTATCATGGTACTGAAGGGGAATTTTTTGTGCTAGTTCTGCTTCAATAGATGAAAAGAAGTTGTTGAAGCAGTCGTAGATCTCATTTGTATCGGTTACCGAAGTTCCTCCTATTAGTAGTTTGGGTGGTATCGATATTTCTCGAAATTTGTTATTGCTGAGGTTCTTTATTAATTTAGACATCTTGGCTGGATTGCATTTATAATCTGTATTTTTTTTACTAGTAATATCCTTAATTATTTCCTTGTTAATCCATTCCTGTTTCGTTAGATTTCTAATTTTGACTTAGTTAACCCTACAATTCTCTATACTTTTCATGAGCTTTTTTTCAAACCTTGTGTATTCTCTGTTTTCGGTATATTCTACGTTTGATTTCTCTAGCGTTTCATATAGTTTTTTGTAATCCAATGTTGCATATTTTGTTCTTTGTTTGGGTTCTGATTGTTATTATTTTATTTCAAAAAGGATCTGCTTGTGGTCTGGCATAGATGATGCAACAATTGCCAAATAAAATTTGTTTTCCTTTAAGTCTGTAGATATACGATCAAGAATAGTTTTACATTTTGATATTTCACGCGTGCCATCCTGATAGGATACTCTATTAATTATTGAGTAGCCGCATTTCAGGAGTGTGTGTTTTATATTCTTCAACTGAGCTGTCCAGGTTAAGGAGGTCAATATTAAAGTCACCAAATACTACAGATTTTTTTAATATGTAGTTCTAATGAAAGAGTTTTTAGAAATTTGGTAACGTTTGTTCTACCACGCTTGTATACTGCTCCAATATCTAGTGAAAATTTCATCATCATCATCATCATTATAGCTCTTCACAAGACCACTGCTGAACATAGGCCCCCCCCCCCAAGTAATGCCACAGAGCACGGTCCTGAGCCACCTGCATCCATCGACTTCCTGCATATCTTACCAGGTCGTCACTCCATCTAGTGGGGGGTCGCCCTACACTACGCCTACCGGTACGAGGCTGCCACTCGTGAACCTTTCTTCACCACGTTGGGCTATGTCGGTCACTCTGGTTCTACTGCGGATAACAGAGAAACCCTGAGTATAGCCCTCTCCATAGCTTGCTGAGCGACTTTGAGCGTCCTCATACGGCCAGCAGTGAAGAACCACGTCCCGGTTCTATAGGTCATCACTGGCAACAGGTACTGGTTGTACAATTTAGTTTTCAGGTTTTGAGGTATACCTAACGAGAAGATGTGTAGTAATTTCCCGAATGCTGCCCTGCCGAGTTAAATCGATTGACCTCTCGGTCGAAGTTGAACTTAGTCGGACTATTTGTCTCGGGTAAACGTAATCGTCAACAACTAGTTAGTTAGTGCTCCCAATCAATACGGGCATAGGTGTGACATGGACATTAAACATGGTCTTTGTTTTGTCCATTTTCATCTTAAGACCTATCCATTGGGAGGTACTATTGAGGTCATTGAGCATAGTGCTTAAGTCCTCCAGCGATTCTACCATAAGGACTATATCGTCGGCAAATCGAAGGTGAGTGATATACTCGCTATTAATGTTAATACCGTATCTTTTCCAGTCCAGTAGCTTGAAAACGTCTTCCAATGCAGCGGTGAAGAGTTTCGGGGATATAACGTCACCCTGTCTTACACCTCTCTGCAGTTGGGTAGGTTTCGTTCTCTGGTTCTGTACTCGGATAGCCATCGTAGCCCTACTGTACAAACACTTCAGCACTTCGATATACTGACAGTCAACTTGGCATCGCTGAAGAGACTGTAGCACCGCCCAAATTTCGACGGAATCAAAAGTTTTCTCATCATCCACATACGCCAGTTAAAGTGGCAGATTATACTCTACGGATTTCTGTAAAATTTGCCGAAGGTTATGTATGTGGTCTATGGTACTATAGCCTTTTCGGAAACTGGCTTGTTCAGGAGGCTGGAAGTCGTTGATTCTGCGTGCAAGATGATTCGTAATGACTCTTGAAAACAGCACGTAGACGTGGCTCAGAAGGGATATTGGTCTGTAGTTCTTCAAGAAGGCGTTGTCACCTTTCTTGAAAAACAATACTACCGCACTTCTGCTCCACGCCTCGAGAGTAGTGCTTCTCTGGAAGACGGAGTAGACAAAAGAGCTTCTGAAGGACTTCAAGTACCAGTTTTCTACCCGCTTTCAGAAGCTCCGCAGTAATTACATCGTCGCCTGGGGACTTGCCATTTTTAAGGTGCTGGAGAGTCTGACGTCCGGGATATCATCGGGATAGTGTCGAATAAGACTTTCTCTTAGATCGTTTCTTACACTTGAATGTGGCTCCAACCATGATGTGTACAGCTGCCCATAGAACCTCTCAATCTCACTCAGAATCTCACGTGTCCCGGAAACGATGCCACCACATTCAGTTTTTAGCTTTTACAGTTGGCTTTTACTGGCAGATGGATCTCTGGCAAAGAATTTGGAGCCCTGGTTCCGCTCAATCGCTTTTACAATATGAGCTGTATTAATATTGCATAAGTCCTGCCGCATGCATTTGGAGATCAGCTTCATCTCCCGTCTTACATCTATGAGATTAAGAGTGTGATCTGAGAGTTTTTGTGTTCTTCTGCGGCGGGTCTTGCAGAACTTAGTTCTGACCGCATGGACAGTTTCCACGAGCTTGTCATTCATACCGTCCCCTGTATTGCAGTCTTCTAGGCACTGAAATCGGTTACGTAACTCGAGCTGAAAAGTTTCGGGATTCTGGATCAGAGCACGAGGGGGACGGAGCGTTGACTTCATTAGACGAGACCTCTCCAACTTAACGTTTAGGTTCAGTGTGCTTCTAACCATTCAGTGATCGCTGCCAGTTTTCAACCTTGCGATCACTGAAACATCACTGAACAGATGGCATCTGGTCGTCATAATGAAGCAATCGCATTTTTGGTCGAACCGTCGGGCCTCGACCAGGTCCACTTCCTGTGAGGCCGCTTCTGGAAGAAAGAGTTCATCATAAAGAGTCCCTCTTTCTCCTTAAAGTCGGCCAGCTGCTGACCCCTTCGGTTCCGTTGCCCTACTCCAAATTTCCCTAACTTCAGCTCACCGCTTTCTCTTGTGCCTAGTTTTTCGTTGGATTCTCCCATCAACACCGTATAGTGGGTTTTGGAGGAATGCCTGGCTCTAGAAATATCCTCATATATTTCCTCCACCTACTCATCGGGATTTGTCGAGGTTGATGCATAAACCTGTATAACCTTAAGCGAATACCGTCACCGAGTATCGGGTACACGACCCTCGTTGACACACTCCCAATCTTTACAACGTTGAGGAGAGACTTGTGGCCGATAAATCCGACACCTCCTTGAGACAGTTGGTCGCCCTCCCGGTGATAGAACAAGTTGCCGGCCTCGAAGGTTACCGTGTCCTCAGCCTATCTCCAGGCCGCGGATAATCCAATAATATGCCAGCGCAACTTGTCTACCTCTTCTTCTAGTTCCAGTATCTTCTCGTCAGTCCTCAGGGTTCGTGACTTATATGTTGTCAGGTCGAGTCGTCGTAGGTGGTAATCTAACCTCCACCGGAGAATCTTAGCACCCCTGCCCCGCCGTTACCATCGTCGCCACCGTAGTCAGGAATAGCGAGCCATTTGTTTGGTCGTTGCTCATGGAGGGATATTTGTTAAGGATGTCACGCTTGGCGAGCGGGTTAGCAGCCGCAGTTTTTTATTACATTATTGTTGTTATGAGGAAGGTGCTGCTGACCATCTCCTGCCTGTATCCTTCTGTCGCCTCTTACGACATGCACGGGAAGATGTGGGGTAGTGGATATTCTCAACCGCCACTATACGGCAGTTACACAATGCACTCGCGTATTATTAATTACTTATTTAATGTTATAAGGTAAAGGTTGAAAATAGTTTGACTTTTACAATTTATTTTTTAAGAATAATCAGCAACACGTCCGTCTCGCACGCTAGCACTCGCTGTCTCGGGCTAATTATTTTAACTACAAATGATCACCCCTCAAGTATAATGTGTTTCAAAAAGGTTATCATTAAAATCGGTCCACAATGGTCTTTTTTCGTCTCTTATAAATTTGATGAAATAAGCTGCGAGAAAGAACTCGGTCGTCGATGATTCGAGCCACTCTGCACTGGATGCGGTCAAGTGAAAGGAGCTTGCGCCGGATGCGGTTAATTTATAGGAACTGGAATGATCCAGCCCAGCAATCAGAACAGTATTTCATTTATTTGTCTAGTCTAGTCAAAATCGTGAAGATTAGACGTTTAAGTAAATGTAAAAAAAAGGATCTAAGGCAAACGGATCTTACGTGTATAAAAGTATAAAAGCCCAGACTTTCGAAGCCACCATGCTGTAATCATTTAATTTATTTTATTTTTTATTTTAAAATCTTTATTGCGACCCCTAAGAAAAGTAAAGATACAAATGGCGGACTTAATGCCTAAAGCCATTCTCTACCAGTCAATTAAATAATTTGAAGTTTTCTTTGCTTATTTACAAAATAAGTCCAAATTACTTACTAAAATAGTATCATGATTAATAATCACATAAAGGTGAATATTTTTATTGAAAGCAACATTTTAAAATAAGTATAATTAATTAATGAAATATCCACTAAGTTAAATATTTTTTCCCCGGAAAGTTAAATTTCGTGTGATACGGTTCGTCAATTCATTACTACTTAGTATACACACAGAGGAAGCGTAATCAATTATAATAATTACCATAAATACAATAGACTTAAACACAATAAATACAATAGATGTGTAAAACAAAGGAGTAACAAAATAGCGCTTAATAAGGCGCCAAGTTACAATTAAGCAAGGCGGTAGATCAGGTAAGCTTTCCTAATTCGAAGCACGTGTAGCAAGCATATGAGTGCTGGTATACCTTTTTACTGGGTACAAATAAGGTCGCTAGTATTCTGGAGTCGTACCATTACCATCCTGAAAATAGACTTTGGCATCAGTTTCTGTATAAGAAGCTGCTCGCACTACAATTACGGAAGGAAATTGAACTACAGAATAAACCAATTGGAATAGAAGTTTTTTAATACCATGAACCTTTACAGAGAGATTAATTATTCTAGTGAGAATAGACTAAAACGTTTTTTTTTATATTTTATGTCGCATAAAAATAACTATAGGTATTTGTAATTTTACTTTTGATGTATTTTCAGTATTTCCTTTACTTTGTTTCTTGTTTAAATCATCA